GAGAGAGAGAGAGAGAGAGAGAGAGAGAGAGAGAGAGAGAGAGAGAGAGAGATAAACACATGCAAATGTAGATAGAACGTGCGAGGTTTTACTTTCACAGCATACACGTAATGTCCATGGCATGCGAGACCAGTCGCGATTACCCTCTTACCTCACTGCTCCGGTAATCATTTCAACCACTATCCTCAGTATTTCTACCCTTCGTTCCCAGTCCTTCTCCGCCACTTTCCCCATCCTTGCAGTGTCCTCGTCATTTATCCTCAGGATCTCCCGCAGTCGCTCTCTGTGTTGTTCTTGTCGTCGTCGATTTCCAACATGCCTTCAATCTGGAGCTACTTTCATCATATCTTATGATTCTGTTCGTTGATTTATTTTGTCACCCTTGTTTCCCGATATGTTCATTCCGTGTTCGCGTTGTCTGATATGATTTCAAGTTTTAGAGATTGGTGGTAGCATGTTTGAAAAGATTTCAGACATTCCAACTCTTTCGTTTGATCTTCCTTACTTGCTATTATGATCATCATTACATCGTCCACAAAACTCATATCGTGGATAAGTTTCTCATCAATTTCAGTCTGCGCACACCATCTGTACTCGTCGAACGCGCATACCATGTTGGCAATGGGTGGGCTAGAGCCCTTCCCCATTGGTATCCCCATTTATATATAACATCTTTATTTTGCTACCCTCGGATTTCGATGCAGCAACGGCTGGTGGATGTCCCCCGGACGTCCCACAGGTGTCTCCGTGCGACAATAGACCTTACTCGGTTGCTAGTGGAACCGTGCCCCCCGATGGACCATGGATCAGATATGAAACTGATCTCCCAAAAAAAAAAAAAAAAAACCTGATCAGAACAGATACTACACTTGATCTTAGCCAAAAGGCCGAGAAAGGTATTGTCAGATTGATTTCGGGAGCTGTCAGGATGTGGCTCCGGAGAGCACTCCCGAACTCGCCGCCTGCAAAGCTGCCTTTTCGAGAGGCCTCCTTCGCTCCTCCGAGTTTCATCCCAGATTCGGGAGTGAAGGTGGAAGGTACAAGCGACTTCTGCCAGACTTCTTCACACTGATCGTGTCCACATGTGGCAAATGACATTTTTAGACTTGGAGCGCGGCCGGGTCGAGAGTGTAGTGTGGCGAAAGGCACTCCCGAGCGGGTTTTCACTTCGGGAAGGACTCGCGGACATTTTCCTCCAAAGTCGGGAGTGGTGTGGCGAGACTGAGGGCGTTGCCGCACCGCGCACGAAACGAAAAACGAAACGAATGTATCTTCCCGCAGAAAATGGCCAGGTTCATCGGTTTGGTATAAATAGTAACGAGTGTATTTTGCCACCTTTGGTGGGCAGATGCACTCGTTTCGTTTTCGTTTCGTGTGCCGTGCGGCGAGACCCTGAAACTATCGAAAATCGCGTTTTTCCACAGTGGTGTGGCGAGGCCCAAAGAGGAACACCCCAAAACACTGAGTTGTCAGACGCGTGAGCTTGCGAGGGGTTGGGTGGGGGATTGGGCAATGTTGCACAAGTGCGCAACGAGCAATGGCACACGTGTCGGTGCTGACGTGGCACCGTGTCAGACGGAGGCATCCCCGCCACCAATTGCCAGATCGTCCTCCGGGCTTGCACGCCGAATGACCGTCCCCTAGGCTGTCGAGGGCCCGACGACCGTCGTCGAGGCTCGAGGGGCTAATCGCGAAATGATTTGATCGACGAGTGGTTGATGCGCTAATTGGTGTCAGTATAGTAAGTAAGGGAGCCTATCAATCTCTGAATCCAGTAACTCTCTTCCCTTTGAATGCGAGGTCGTTGGGTTACATGAGAAGATTGCGCAGCAATAGATTGGATTATGTATATATATTGACTGATCGAATCGACCAGTTAGTTTAGTCGTGGAAGATGTTTCGTCCATCAAGCTGATTGGGCATTTACTGTATGATTGATTAGTTGATTGCTGTTTTATTGATGGATTAAGTTGCAGTTTGACATCAAGCTAATGATGATGCATGCATCGAGGTCCTAAATGAGAGTTACTGCAGTAATTAGCTGTGCATAAGTTGTTTACGTCATCAAGCCGATGGTGTATTGATTTGTGCTGATTGATTAGTTTGTTTGTTCTTTGTTGATGGATTAACTTGTTTGTCGTTTTGTTGATTGATTAGTTCTCGGTTAGCTCACAGCCTTGACGAATCAATCCGACGGGAGTTTTTTAATCGATATTTGTGGAGTTGATTTATCCTTCTGGAAAAGATAGATTTGGTGTATAACTTACTGAGTATATGTGTGGAGTTGATTATCCTTCTGGAAAAGATAGATTTGGTGTATAACTTACTGAGTATATTTGTGGAGTTGATTATCCTTCTCGCAAAGATAGATTTGGTGTATAAAACTTACTGAGTATTTCCGGCAGCTGGTTGGTGGGAACGAGAAGTATGGCGGCGTTTCTTAGGAGGACGACATCCGTGATGTGGCGTTGGAGTCACATCGCTGATCTTGGTTATAATAAGACCACCTAATTGTAAACCACGTAAGAACGATTTCGGCTGTCGCGTAAGGAATTACTGATTGCTTACGCAAGTACTTTTAACTTGTGCGGGGCAAAGCGAAGCGTGGTGATTGTTGGCGGAGTGGGGACTGATAGACGATTGTTGTAGTAAAGGGGTAGAGCTATCGATTGATTGAGCGTGTTTTGTTTGGGAACTAGTATAGACGAGGAGGTTCGAGAGAAAGATTGCGGCAAGAGGAGAGAGAAAGGGTGGGTGAAAAGGACGGCAGTGGTGGTGAAGGGGGGGGAGCTACTCTGGAGGCAGAGGGCGCCAAAACGAAAACTACGGGTCTCGGCGCGCCGTCGACGACGATCGCGATCAGGCCGCCAAAGGACGACAGTTCGCGATGGCGGGAAAGGACGATGAACAAGCGAATCACAAGAAAGAGCATAAGGAAGAAGATAAGGCCATGCATAAGAAGGGAGTGATAGTGGTCAGGGGAGGAGGAAATCAACAAGAAGAAGAAGAAGAAGAAGAAGCAGGTGATGAAGAAGCATCAGCAGCCAAAGAAGACGGAGAAGAAGAAGAAGAAGCAGAAGAAGCAGAAGAAGGAGATGGAGCTAAACAACCCAGGAGTGCTCGCGCGCGATGGCTGATGGGTATGGCTATCGTATTCGTCGTCTCTTCCATCTGGGTTATATCGAGTTTCCTTGTGCAGTACATAGAGGGCAGAGGCATAAAGGCACTTATGCTAACGTACGTCTGTAACTCATTTTTCGTGATCTTGATACCGGTGGTGGAGGGAGGTCGCCTGCTGTCCACGAGGGGATACGACAAGCGCTGGCTGAAGCGGACACGCGCGCGCCTGGTTCAGGTCATGAGGACAAAGCGCGCCAACGATGGGGACCTGAGAGGGCGCCTTTTCTTGTATTCGACTCTAAAGCAGGTGGAGAAGGAGGCGGCGATGGAAGCCGCGGCGTCGAGCCTGTCTTCTTCGCGCTCATGCCACGTGGCATTCTCTGCATCGTCGCCGTCGATTACGCGTCGTCCCGACCCCGTGGAGCGAATCTTGCCGCTGAACTCTGGCCGCAAAGCTGAAGCGGGAGGAACAAGCAAGACGGGTGCCGACCGGGGGGGAGATTCCGCTGCTGACTCACCGATCCCCCCGGTCCCGCCCTCCTTCCCGCCTTCCTCTTCGCCCTTCGTCTCCGCTCCCCCTCTACATATCGGTGCGTCGGCGGAAGCGGGAGGAGTAGTAGTGGGTGGAGAAGTTGACGATGGTTGTGGTGAAGGGGGTAGCTATGGAAAGGATAGAGGGGCGACGGACGTCGCGCGGCAGATCCCCGACTATGGTGGTGGTGGTGCCCGACGGGACGAGATGGGTAATGATGATTGCACTAATTACGGCCGCGGAGATGGCACGTCAGCATGGGGTGCGGAGGTTCCTCTCCCTCTCGAGGAGATCATCCCACTTAGCCGCATGGAAACTGCAATGCGGGGATTGGTGATTTGCCCGTTTTGGTTCCTCTCTCAGCTAACCTTCAACCTGTCTTTGAACTACACGACTGTGACGGTAAGCAAGCCCTGTCCTCTGCCCTCTGCTGGCTCCCCTCTGCCCTCCCCACGTGGGATTCTGTTTTACGCACTTGAATCAGTGTCTGCATTTTTATTTTTTTTTTCGCATTTTGGTTTGAGAAGCTCTGCATTAGCTCATTCAGCTGAATGAGAACGAGTTCATAAATTGTTTCGACAAAAGATTGCCAAGCATTGGGTACTAAATGACCTCCATTGATGGTGAGAAATCCCACAAGCTCTTTTGTCCTCTGAATAGAACACGCAGGACAATATGACCGTCTTGATTGATGCATCCTTTTTCGTCGGATGCCTCTGCCTGTGCTGTCCCGTCGCTGGCTGTATTTGGGACAAGATGATTGGTCGGTATCAACGAGAAAAGGAAATTTATACTATGTGTGTTGGGGGAGGCAACAGGGGAGCGGAGCGGAAATTGGGAATGTATGCTGTGTCGGGAAATGTCGCACGCGCATGGCCAGACCAGAATGCCCTTTTGCACTTTCATGTTTGCGTTGGCCCTTGCCTTGCCCCTGTCCTCAGACGTCCAGGCCCACATTTTGCCCCGCTAGAGGGTGGGCAACTTTGCGGTATACAGACGCGTTCGGCTGGCATCTTCGTCGCCGGTCAGCGTCCTTCTTCTTCTTCTTCTTCTGGTCTTTATCGTCTTCGTCTCCGTAGCTTATGCGTGGTGCAGTCGGTCTCCATACACACGTACGCACACAATCGTCTTTAACTTCTTAGGTTATGCACGGTGTTGTCGATCTCCGACACACACACACACACACACACACACACACACACGCACACACACAGAGAGAGAGAGAGAGAGAGAGAGAGAGAGAGAGAGAGAGAGAGAGAGAGANAGAGAGAGAGAGAGAGAGAGAGAGAGAGAGAGAGAGAGAGAGAGAGAGAGAGAGAGAGAGAGAGAGAGAGAGAGAGAGAGGAGCAAGGCTGGTGGGGAGTGAAATAAATTGCGACGTTACAAAGTCTGGAAGTACTGGGGCATTTGGAAAACTTGAGCTGGTACTGGTAGGGGTATATAAGAAATATGACGGGCTCAATCCACGCTCGGGGTATTCCAACAAATTTAAGCAATCCTCAGAAGGCCATTCCGCTCTACACAGGGCTTTTGGTGCCATTCTAACAAAACGCAAATTCCCTTTTCCCGTTTGTTGGAGAGAGAGTGACAGAGCACTAATGCGATGTTTCTGTGCTATACTCATGCAGGACTTTTTCCACTTGCCTCCGGACCTGATTACTGTCAGATGCATCTAGGTCTGGCCGTAATTGCAGCCAGAAACGTTTTTTTTTTTTTTTTTTTGTTTTTTTTGTTTTGTTTTGGTCAGATACGTTTAAGAAAGTGCTAGTGTGAGTATGTCCTGGCCCTCTTCTTCTGCGGTGCGTTAGCGGGTGTGTGTGTTGGAACGTAGTTGGGAAAGGTGTGCAGTTGGTTGCAGTATTCAATGCCTTCCTTACCTATTCGAGAAGATGTGGTTTTTAAACTTGGCGTCGCCTTCCGTCCGTGCTCTCGTTGTAATTTTATTAAGCCTACCCGAAAGCTCGGGGGCGAGGTCCCACCAGCAAACAGGATTGGATTGAAAGCCTGAATCTGGACTTGTTTGTGGAAAGGTGCGCAAATGCGAGATTGAACTGCTTTTCTGCATTTGTGGTTAAAACGCATTCAGATTCAGGTGTTCCATTCAAAATCCTCTTTGTTGGTGGGACCTCGCCCCGGTAATCTTCTTTTCTAGATATCATCCGTCGACAAGTCATGTTCGTTTCTTTTCACAATTTGCGATGCAGAAACAGAAGCGGTCAATTTTTTTTTGTGTCAACCCTTGATCGATAAGGTTCCCTCTTCTTCCCTCTTCTGTGTTCATATAAGATAGTCTTCTATCCGGCTGTGGCGAGTCGCCCATGTAATTGTCGCATAGCTTGTATGCGTCAACGGACTGGACGCCAATCATTCGATGAGCAAGAAGGTCGATCGTGGGGCGGAGGCGGTTAGCGATCGCGCAGGGTACACTGTCGGCGGACCAAATGCCAATCGAAGAGCAAGAAGGTCGATCATGAAGCTCAGGCGGTTGGTGAGATGCAATTCAGTAGATCACCAAAAAAGTTACTAGATGAACATGACGCTGAGGCGGTTAGCAAGAGCACGGGTCGACAGGTGGGATGCCCCTATCAATCGATGAGCAAGAAGGTCGATCATGGCGCGGAGGCGGGATGCCAATCAGTCGATCACCCAGAAGGTAGATGAACATGACGCTGAGGCGGTTAGCAAAAGCACGGGTCGACAGGTCGGATGCCCCTATCAATCGATGAGCAAGAAGGTCGATCATGGCGCGGAGGCGGGATGCCAATCAGTCGATCACCCAGAAGATAGATGAACATGACGCTGAGGAGGTGGTTAGCGATTACACGTGTCGACAGGTCGGATGGCAATCAATCGATGAGCAAGAAGGTGGATGATGACTCTGAGGCGGATAGCGAGTACATGTGTCGACGGATCGGATGTCAATGAATCGATGAGTAAGACGGGCGATCATGACGCTGAGGCGGCTTCTGAAGAAGGCAAACGCAAGAGCTCTTCTCGTATTAAGCGTGGGGATATGTTTGGGACTCGTGCTGATTCAGGTAGTGAGGGAGGAAATGCACGTGAACACCGCGACACATAGCCTTGCCCGCTTCTATCCCGACTGGATTTACTCATCCTCAACAGGTCTATCTCCCTCTCTCCAGGAACAATACGGGAGCGTATTGCTGGACCGCGAATGGGAGAGACGGGAGGAGGAGGTAGATGGGCATAGTAGGAGGAGAGTAGTCGAGGAAAGGGGGGCGGAAACTGTAGGCAAGGAGGCCACTTTAACAAAAAATGGCCAAGAGGAGGAGGGCCACGGTAGAAGAGTCGAGTATGGTAGAAGAAGAAGTGGTAATCTGTCAACAACAAACAGCAAGGAGTATGGGAGGGAGAAGGAGGGGGAGGGCGGAGCACGCATTGCGCTTAAGAACAAAATTGACAGTGTCGCTGATTTCACCACGTTAACGAGAGAATGGCTGACGTCGCCTGTCCTCCGACAGAACGAGAGCCACCGTCATTCATCTTTCTACAACTCGAGCTCGTCTTCGTCTTCTTCTTCTTCTTCTTCTCGTTCTTTTCTTCCGCCTCCTCCTCCTCCGTTGCTGCCATCGACACCCTTGCTTTTGGGAGAGGGAGGGGAGACACTACATGACGAAGGACAATCGGGATCCGGGCCGCCTGATGAGGTGGGAAGACGCAGCGTGAACCGTGGGATGGGCGTGAGACCGCAATCAATGGTTGGCGCAGCTGTTGTCGAAGATGTGGGCAGCAGGCTTCCCTCTCACAACAGGAGCTGGATCTCTGGCTATGGTGGACAGGAAGGACAGAGTAGAGGACCCATTTGGGATTTTTTCTTTCGTGGAGACGGAAGGAGGGAAGGAGAGGAGGAGGGGGTTGTTTCCTCACGCTTGGAGGACGCGGCGCCAGGTAGCAAGGGAGGAGACAAGAAGCACCACTTGAGAGAGGATGACGCGGAGAAGGCGCTGGACTTGAGGAGGGAGACGACCGAGGAGGAAGCGCCAGAGGTAGAAGGGCCGATGAAGAGAAAGAAGAAGAAGAAGAAGAGAGACCGTGGTGGGGACGGGGAGGAGGAGGGAATAGCCAGAGGTCGGACGACGATGCCTGATCGCAGGCTGTCTAGAGCAGCCAACACACGGGCACACAAGGGCTATCATCGTCGAGATGGGAGGGCAGAAGAAGGAGAAAAAGATCATCATGTCGTTGGCCAACGGATCGAATCCGCCATTATGGCGTCGAACGGATTGACAGTCTTTGATAATAGGCTCACGAGAGCAGAACAATCACAATCATCATCATCATCATCTCGGTCGAGCTTGGCCGTCTTTCAAGTCCGAGATCTGCAGTTAAGCCCCCTTCTCAGAGCGGACACTGAACTCTTTGCTCGGTTGCAGGAGTGGCAACCATCGCGAGTTTTCGTACTTAGTTTTTCCTCCGCTTCCGCTTCCTCCTCTTCTTCTTCTCCTCCATTCGTCCCCTCCTCCTCCTCCTCTCGCTCCTCGATGTTGTTAAGCTCCTTGAGAGGAAGGGTATCAATGGAAGGCGGAATGCTGGATGATGTCTTCGCATCTTCGCGCCTGCGATACACGCTGGCTATTCCGTCTTCACTTGCGGAAGGGAGAAGGAGGTGGTGGTGTAGAAGAGGATGGGGGAGTAGGATCCTACGGGATCACCACGCGCAGGAGCTGGAAGGTCGCTGGATGATGAGAACACTAGCTCACGCTGACCTGTGGCGGGAAATCGTTAGGAGGCAACTGCCTTTCGCCATGGTGTTTGAGGAGGACGTGGTGTTTAGGAACGAGACGTTCAAGGACGCCTTGGAGAAAGCACTTGCCCAACTGATTTTCCTCGAAATGCAGGAAGCCGTTGTGAAGCGGCCATCCTTTGATATCTGTTTGATAGCAAGGCGAGCCCTTGCAGACTTCGGTGAGCCTAAGCTGACGGAGGACGTTGTGGAAGCTCGCGCTTCCATCGGAGCCGGAGCCTATATCATCTCCGCGGAAGGGGCAAGAAGGTTGTTACGACACGTATCGATCTATGGGCCCATTGACGAGGTGATGTGGAAGGTTCCGGGGATTAGATGGAGAGCAATGAATAACGTCGATTACGGGTGGGACGCCGTCACAAGAGCCGTGATCATCAACGAATGGGAGCAAGTGTCGAGGAGGGTCACGAGATCGAATGCGATCGGCGAGCTTCGCAGTGCGGCACGTGTCCTTGTCTTGGGAGGGAAGGAGGGGAGGAGGGGGATGAAGAAGAAGGAGGAGCAGGAGTCGTGCGCAGGTGAGGTCGTATCAGCTCGCACCCTCGCGAGGCGACCAACGCCAGAGAGAACGAACGTGTTGACGTCAACGAGAAGTCGAATGAACGCCGATGCAGCAACGGACGAATTACAAGGAAGACACCAAGGAGGACGAGGAGGAGGAGGAGAAGGGCTAGAGATGGAAGGAGGAGGAGGAGGAGGGGAACGGGAATGGGGAGAGGGGGAAACGGCCGCCGCCATGGCTGGTGGGATTTCAAGTCGTAATCATGTCAAGAGGAAGAGGGCACGGTTGGTTGAAGATGATGATGATGATGATGGGGAACACCGAGGAGCGGTGGTGGTGGCTCTTTTTCCTACGAGGACAAACGAATGGCCGGTGATTGTTGTCAATTTGGAGCGGTTGAAGGAACGAATGACGAGAATGGAGATGCAGTTACGACGGCAAGGCTTCTCGCGTGCAGTTCGAGCGATCGGCGTCTCGGCAACCGATGAGGAGTTGCGGGTGTTCGGCAGCCAGGTGAGGAAGGATCACGTATCGAAGACGAGGGATAGATGGCATTTACCCAAGAGGTTTTTGTCGAGAGGGGAGGTGGGTTGCGCTCTGTCGCACTACTTGGTGTGGCTGGAAGTTGTCTCGAACTCCTTACCTTTCGCCATCATCTTGGAAGATGACGTGATCTTCGCTTCCTCCTTCTCCCATCGATTCCCAACCGTGTTGGCGGAGCTGAACACCCTCCTCCTACGAGCTGGAGATCCAAACGGCAACGGCAGACGACCAGCTTTCGACGTGTGCTTGCTTGGCCGCAAATCTGTCGTAGAGATGAAGTACGAAAAGCGGCAGCAAGTGAGTAGTTCCATAGTGGTAGCGGCGCCGTCTTGGGAGACACACGCCTACATTGTGTCTCTAGAAGGAGCGCGGAAGCTGGCCTCGGCATTTTTCGTTGACGACCCCCTGGATACGTTCTGGTGGAGGGTTCGCGATTCCTATTTCCTGGCTGTGGAGCCGCCTCTCGTTATGCAGATGACAACTGCAGGAGGAGGAGGGCAAATGCAGAGTACAACAGAACTAGGAGCGAAAACTGCGTGGTGATTGGACGGATCGATCATGTAGAGGGATCGTGCTCTATCAATCAATCAATCAATCAATCAATCAATCAATCAATCAATCAATCAATGTGTTAATTAATCGAAGGATCGATCTGGGAGATATACATGGAGGAGTTTTGGCCAGCGAACCGGAGAAGACGAGAGAGAGATAGGAGCCAAGACATCCTGGTAATCAAGCGAGAGAACGATGTGATATGCGGCGGTGTATTCGATTGATACCTTGATTAGTCGATCAAGGGAAATAGATAGCGACGGAGCTGAGCGCCAGTACACAGCCTGGTGGCAATCGGAAGAAGAGGAAGTAGTGATCCCGGTCAATTTATTGATCAATTTGTTGATCAGACAGATCGCCAACGGCGGGAGGAGGGAGGCTCACGGCAGAGGACGACATTTCTAGCTAAGGGCCAGATCCCACTGGCAAAGAGGATTGGAAGAAATGTCTGAATCTGGACGTGTTTGTGGAAAGGTGCAAAAAATTGTGATTGATCTACTTTTCTGCACCTCTGCGTGGAACACGTCCAGATTCAGACATTTCTTCCAATCCTCTTTGCCAGTGGGATCTGGCCCTAAGTAGGGACAGCGTTCAACCGATCGACCAGGCGATATCTTCATCATCGATCTATCGATCGTTAAATATGCCGATGTGGATCGGATGAACAACCGGGCGTTGTATTTTTTGGGTGGACCTGGTCATTATAGCCGTATTTGGTGCAACTTTCAGTCTAGGTACAGCAATAATTACCGGGCGTTGTATTCTGGTGAACACGGTAGTTCGATGCCGATGTGGATCGGATGGCGTAGAAGCGGATCGGATCGAAGTACTGTGTTCGCCCGAATAGAACGCCCGGTCGTTATAGCTGTGTATCTGGATTCGAAATTGCACAAAAGACGGCTAGAATGACCGGGGCGTTCTATTTGGGTGAACACGGTGGGTGCCAATACTGCCTGGTAATTAGATGAGCAACAAGTAGGGATCCTGATCTGTCGTTGTAGTGAATGAGTCCAGCGACAGATCGAAGTTGTTCAAATGCATGGAGGTTAGGGACCATGATTGGCAAATGAGGGGAGGCAAGAGGGGGAAGGGGTGCAGAGGGGAAAGTGTTTGTGATGTGGATAGAACCACAAGAGGAGAGAAAAAACAGCTATGGCGGGTGCATCTGTCCACGAATTACCGGAGGGCACATGCTCCATTTTACACATTTGGTGAGTAGGGCGGCGAGGTCCTTAGCTATTTGTCTGCTACTTCTGTCCTGTCTGTGTTTGTCATTCAGGGGGCTTAACTCGTACAGTGAACAAATGTGAAAGTTGGTGTTTTTGAACTGCTAAAAAAAAAAACCAATGGCATTACTGCCACATACGCGAGGATTGTCCTAAAGCGTTCACGTCTGCTCGCCGGCTAAGGGTCAATCCTTGCCCTCCTTACGTCTGTCTCCAGGGGGACTGATGGAAAGAGCAAGAGAGGGGCCGCTCGAGGTAGCAAGAACAGTGCCTTGCAAAACAGGGAGCGTTCAGCAGAGGAGGGGCCAGTGTCTGCCAAGGTGTGTATCCTCCCACACTCCGTACTATTCTTGGTATCGCTGCCCGCAACAATCTTTCTTCTTCTCATACGGCCCAGCAAAGTGACCTGCGCCCCTCCCAACGAGTGCAGCGTTTGCATCACCGACCACCTCACAAGCCTCTTGCTAGTACAACACATACGGCGGCTCGTTTGAGTGCGGCACTTCAAGGCGTCATCCGTACTCTCCGTGAAAAAGATAATCAACTCTTCCAATCCGAAGGTATTCATCGATGTTGGATTGTCCGGAGCAGTGACGAGGTCATGCTTGACCTCAAAAAAGAATAAAGCTTCTCTTCGAGGTCTGGCCCCCCATACGGTCGATTTCACTACTATGTATAGTAATCTTTCTCATCAACGGATTCTTGACAATGTTGCTAAGGCTGTTGATGAGGCACATGCCTATGCTCTTGCACAGGCACAGCAGCATACACGGACACACTCATCCTGTGTTGTTGCTGGGGACCGTGTGCAGGGGAATGGACTATGGATACGGTATCTGACACTCTTTCTGTGTCTGACATTCTTCAACATCTTCGGTTTATTGTTACTAATACATATCTATATACAGTGGATGGCCTTGTTCGTCTTCAAGACGTGGGTATTCCCATGGGTACAAACGCTGGTCTTGAGATTGCTAACCTCACACTCTATTGGGATGAGGCGCAGTACGTGGACAACCTGCAGCGTGTGGATCCCTCTGCAGCTCGCCGATATGTTTCCAGTTATCGGTTCATTGATGATGTTCTTACCTTTGGTTGTCTGCCACCATCGCCAACCTATTATGGTCTTGAATGGAAGGAGACTACTGCGGCTGATGGCTCTTGCACTTTTCTAGGTGCGAAACTGCAGACACGAGCAGATGGATCTCTCTGATTGAGTGTGTTTGACAAGACAGTTGCATGGGATTTTCCTGTTATACGATATCCTAGTGCAACGTCAAACATTCCGTCTCATCAGCCTGTAGGCGTGTTCACCAGCCAGCTTACGCGGTTTGAGCAGATTTGCGACAATTGGCATGATTTCAGAACTGCGGCAACCATGCTTGTCCACCGTTTGCTTTCCCGTGGCCATGCTCCTTCGACATTGGCCCGTGGATGGACTCGTTATGTTCGTGCTCGCCAATGTCGACAACCTATACATGTAATCCGTCTTACACAATGGTTTCGACGTGTGCTTCGCTGGTCCGGGCATCATCCTCTTCCACCTTCTCCTCCTCTTTCCTTCGCTTCTCCTTCTCCCTCTCCCCCTCCTCCTCCTCCTTCCTCTTTTCCATCTTCTCCTCCTCCTCCGCCGCCTCCTCCCCCTTCTTGTCCATCTTCCCCTCCTCTGTCTTCCCCCTCTTCCTCTCCACTTCCCCCTTCTTCTCCCCCTCCCCCTCCCCCTCCTCCTCCTTCTCCTTCCCCTTCCACTTTTCCATCTTCTTATCCTCC